ATTCATTTTAGAAAATATGGAATATAAAGAAAAGTAGAGTCTAAATGAAATAAAATCCCTCATAGTTTCATTATCAAGAAACAAACACCTATTTTTAAAAAGATTTTATTTATTTATTTGAGAGAGAGAGAGATAACAAGAGAGAGTACCAGTGGGGAGGAGAGGGAGAAGCAGGCTCCCCACTGAGTAGGACACCAGATGCGGGCTTGATCCCAGGACCCTGGGATCATGACCTGCATGGGAGGCAGACACTTACCCAACTGAGCCACCCAGGAGCCCTGACAAACACCTATTTTATCTCATTATTTTATCCATCGACCTCATTCCTATTGTTAGGATAGGTAGTAACAGACCAGAGCCCAGAAAAACCCGGTACCAAAGATATGACATCATATAACGGTAGAAAAATAATAGATTATTTAAGAGATGATCTACAAACACTATAATATATCATGCTTATAATTAAGTTTCCTCTAAAAGACATGTTTTGTTAGTATTCTATATTTGCATAGTGTTTCAGAAGTTTTGTTCACTTTCATTTCTAGCATTGGCAAGTGGTTATGAGGATCCATCCTCTTATTTTAACTCATGAATAAACTAAGATGTAAAGTGATGGCTATCTCTGGGGTTCTTTACCTAGCTAGCAAAGACAGAACTACAGGAGATGAAATAAAATGAGTAACAATTCAAGCATTTAATTCCAACTTTTTCTTGGAAGAGTACAAATGAGCATGTGCTAGCCACAGGAGATAATTGGGTGTCAGGTCAATTTATTTTAACAGGTATGTAATGGGCACCTACTATATATGAAAATGAGCAAGACACCATTCTTGTCTTCATGGAGTTCATAATCTAATGGAAGTCAGATAATTATTATTCATAGCAGAATAAAACTGTCATAGGTGAGATGTGAAATGCTATGTAAAGTAAGTTCAAGGGATTTCTACATTTGCCCACACAACAAAGAATTATAGCTAATAAGTCACCAATGGAAATGGAATAATAAAATGGAATAATAAAAAATAATTAATAAAAACATACACAGAAAAAAGAAAACAAAGAACAAATGGGAAACATAGAAGACAAACAGCAAGGTGGTATATTTGATCTCAACCATATAAATAGTTAAATTAAATATAAATGGTCTAAGTAGGAAGAAGGTACAGAGAGTTGTGGGAAGGAGTTGAGGCACTTCCTAGAGGCCTTAAAGAATAGAACATAATTTTACCAGGCTGAGATAAGAAGATATATGCAGCATATTCTGAGGACACCCCACACCATTAAAAGATGAGACTACAAAATCTGTTTTACCAACAATAACTCATCCACACACACTAGGCTACAATTAAAATATATGGGAGTACTGGAAGATAAAACTGAAATTATGGTAGGACCCTACTTGGAACCCCCTTGAATTCCAAAGAAAGGAGTTCGTAATCAATTTGAAAATCAGAAGAAAATTGCTAAAAGTAACAAAATCAAAGCTGGGCTTTGGGATGATCAGTATGACAATGATAGATTCTATACTTATAAGTAAATTAAATCATGAAGATGTATTTTGTTAAGAGAAATTGGTATCTTAACATTTCCTTTAAGGCACAACAGGAAAGCGGTGCCTGAATGGCTCAGTTGGTTAAGTGTCTGCCTTCGGCTCAGGTCATGGTCCCAGCGTCTTGGGATCAAGTCCCACATTGGGCTCCCTGCTCTGCAGGGAGTCTGCGCCTGTGCTCTCTCTCTCTCTCTCTCACTCAAATAAATAAATAAAATCTTTAAAAAAAGGTACAACAGAAAAGACCTAGTTAAAGTATTTCTGGTCAGGTACAGGTTGGGATGGGGTGGGCAAGGCAAGAGCCAAAACCAGCTGGGTACAGAGGTTTTTGTTCAGAAACATCTTACAAGTGACACATGGAACAGGACATGTGATGGGAAAATGAGAGTGAGATAGAAGAACTGTGACAAATGTTACGAGCTGCTGAACTTTAAAAAATAGAAACAGGTAATGTTAGAGCAACATGTCCTATGAAGGGCAAGGCATCCTCTTTAAAACAGAGTGTACAGTCGGTGGAGAATACCGAAGCTTCTTCTACATCTGAGTATATTTGGAGTATTTCAATTATTTGGAGGGTTTTCAATAATTCTGTATGTGGTCAAGTCAGAATGTACATACAGTTCAATTTCTGAAAGCATCTCTCTCTACTCTACCTAATGTTTCCTGACCTGTAAACAGAAACACTTAAACCCATTAATGCCTTGAAACAAATTCCTAAGGAGAATGTCAGGCCATACAGTGCAGCTGTTAAAGGTCCTGAGAGCATAAACAAGCCTCTGAGGGCAATATCAGAATGGCATACGTTTATTGTGAAGTAGTTGTCAATAGTAGGTATTCATACATTCTGGAAACAAAAGCTGAACCACTTGTTACCTGGATGGTAGGTTCTTAAAATAGCGGAATGGGTGGGAGTTAGTCATATCTGACATAAACCACACTTTCACCACTGGACAATCTCTCTACAGGAGATCTTAATTCACTGAAAATCATTTCAGCCATTCTTCTAAATGTAACATTTGAAGGTTAGAACGACAAAAGTATGCTCTGGAACCTGTGAGTTCTAAACAGAGAAAACTCTCCATTTATGACCTCACTCTATACTTAAGTAAAGCTAATTTTTTTTCAAGATCTCTTTGTTGATCCCCTTTGGATATGGGAAAAGGTTCTGTATTAATTAAGAGAAAATGAATACACCTGAGTACTCTTCCTTAAGATTGTCAAGAAAACATCATAACTGCCATTTAGATTTGCAGTCTTGGTTTATAAAGCAACAGAGAGTTGTCCAATTACTCAAAAGCAAACTTTAAATAGGCTATCCAGGTCCAGATGTTTGGAGGAGACGCAAGAACTGAAAAACACCCACTTTCTGTCATAATTATGCTTGGAAATGAAGTTATCTTGCAAGTTGATATCAGATGGATTGCATTCTCATAGAATTGACAATAAATAGGAGTTTCTCATGTAAAAAAGTTGAAAAATATACTTTTAATCCTCACATTTAATTGCACCGTATGTCAATTGTTTTGGGTCTCGTGTAAATAAAAAGCTTATATAACAAATATAATACAGTTATCACAGATCTGGACATGTAGCACTTAATAATTCTTGTTTTATTAGGATTGTTTAATATAGATTGCTACTGAGCACATATCTACATTAAAAGGCTATGCAAGATTATCATACAAATACTGTATAATATATATCCCTAAATCAAGAGAATTTCTCTCTCATAGTAAAAGGGAAAAAACTAATAATCTGTTATCCACACCTCAAATCTTTGGTTAATGCCTTTAAAAGGAATAGAGCTTTAGAAAATACATTTTTAAGAAATGTCATTGATAACAAAGAGCTATAAGAAAAATAACCCATAGATTATATTATTGCTTTTACCCCTGGGCCCTGGAACAATGTAGGAGAACCAGAATCACCTGAAAAACTAGCAAACATGCAGATTCCTGGGCCCTCCCCACAGTACATTTGGGGTGTATCCCAAGTATCTGAATTTTTAACAGGTTCTCATGTGATGATAATGCTGCTCATCCGCAGACCACGCTGGCCTAGCATTGCCTTAGAACACAGGTCAGCTAAAGATGGCCCATGGGCCAAAATCAACCTGTAGCCTTTTTTGCAAAAAAGTCTTACAAGCACATAGTCACCCGCATCTATTTACACATTGTCTATGGCTGCGTTTGCTCTACAACAGCAGAGCTGAGTAGTTGCAACAGACCCTGATAGCCTGCACTACGTATCTTACAAAACCTTACATACTTAATATCTGATTCTTTTACAAAAAGTTTATGCAAACAATGAATCATGGTGGAACACTACATCAAAAACTAATGATGTAATGTATGGTGATTAACATAATAAAATTAAAAAAAAGAAAAGTTTGTTGACCCTTGTCCTAAAATGCCACTCTTCTCCCCATTATCCAGTTGAGATTTTTGAAATTCAGAACTTGAGTTTACGGCTATCAAATATAAAGACATGCAGTGAGACCATTAGGGTATCTCAAAGCTCATAAAAATGTTCACAATCTCCACGCATGTCTCTGAATAACCACGAGCTGCTTTTTCACTGCCATGATAGAATCTTGATGAACGTCCGAAGTGTTCCACAATTAAAAGTCACAAAGTTACTCTCCTTCCTATAATTATCCCTGGTAATAAAGGACAGGGAGTAGAAGAATAGATTAAATCATCAACTTCCCTAATAATCTTCTGCTTTTTCTTGTCTGCTTTCTTTCTGCATCACTGGATAGGTTAACAAATGCTGGCTCCTGAGAACGCAGCGGCAACAGGCTGCCACGGGGGCTTACGCAGCATGGTGACTGCGGGCGTCAGACTTCTCAAATGTGTTTTGTTATAACATTTAATTAAATATTGTAAAATATGTACTAGTCAATTCACCACTATAACGTTTCTCCATATCTTATCCTAGACTTGATTCAAACATTTATATTAGCCACAGCACTCCTGAAGGCATTTGACTTGGGGATCCCTGGGTTGGATAATATTCAAAGTAAAAAACCAGGACATGTAAATAGATCACTGTTGAAAGCTATTATATTTTGTCATATGTGCAATAGATAAGTGAAACTAATAGTTGTACTAATAAAGAACAGTGTCTTAGAGCAAAAGTCTTAGATTGTTATCAAAATGGGGCAATTTCATTTTGTGAAAGGCAGTACAACCCTCCCCACTAAAATGTGAGACTACCAGACCTACCATCTTATAATGATTTCTCTAGAGGTTCAGTTTACTTTTACATCTTCTGGTAAATAAAATGCTTGTTTATAGGGTTACATGAATAGTTTCCCAAATGATATATCTGGTTTATTTAGAACCCCCAAACCAGTATCTTATAAACTATTGGTAAAAAAGAATACTTGGCATTGTTAGAATATGAAATAGATAATAAATTAACAGAAGTAAAGGTTGTCAGCTAATACCTGTTGCACAATTGTTGTCAATTCCAAGCAGAGCTGTATGACATTATTCCTTGTAACTGAATAGTCTGTGACGGCAGCAAATGGTGACCTATAAAGGGAAAACGAAAATTATGATTAATAGGAAGAGATTTTGAAAAGTTCCCAAACGCAATAGCCTTAAGTTAAGATCTTGAATAATAGGAAATGAGTTGTTCTGAAGTTTACATAGCGATAAAAAATATTCAGGACACATTTTAGAAAAAAAATTCAGGAAACAGAAGAGAATTAAATTCAAGAAACATAATGTTTGCTTTTCTTTTTTATTCTTTAAAAATTTATTTATTTATTTTAGAGAAAGAGAGAGAGAGAGTACATGGCAGGGAGGGGCAGAGGGAGAGAGAGAATCTCAAGCAGACTGCCTCAGGGCTTGATCTAACAACCCTGAGCGGAAACCAAGACTTGGACGCATAACTGACAGTACCACCCAGGCACCCCAAGAAACATAATGTTTGCTTTTCATCAAATTTTTTTTTTTAGTTCTTAATATTTATTGGTTCTTTGGTACTTATAAGGTCTCTTCACTACATCTAAAATAAAACAAAGGAGTACTTTAGGCAAAGACAATATTTTAGTTTACTTTCAAATGAAGATTCTGAATACAGTATCTTCTTGAAATATTCACAATTCAGAGTTAGTAATGACAGCTAACACTTACTGAGGACTTACTATGTGCCAGGTACTGTTCTAAATGCTTTACATGTAATAAATTATTTTCACAAAAACGCCTGTGTAGTAGGTGCTATTATTATTCCCATTTTACAGATGAGAATGCTGAGATACAAAAAGGTTAAGTGACAACTAGTAAGTGGGAAGAGCTGGTATTCAAACCAAGGAAGTCTGAGCCCACACGCCACAGATTTAAACACTGATATACTGCCTCTATGAACTTACTAGGTTTTATCTTGTACTAAACCAATTATTTATGTCACTTCACATCCTTTTTCAAATAAGGTGGTACATAAATAATAAATATATTCTGGCTTAAGGTTCATATTTACAAGGTTGTCAGAGACAAATAGCAATCTTTTTTATTACCAAGTGTTTTGCCACCAAATGAATTCACAGTGACTTGCCATTACTTTTTATCCACTCTCACCTGTGAATGCCCATCAGGTTTTGTAAGGCCAAAGCTTATCGGATTTGGGAGGCCCAGTTTAATGAAAAGAAAATCACTAATATAAAAGAAGGCATGGAGGTCAAAATCTAGTGAAATTATTGAATCCTTAGTGCTTTAGACCTCCTATTTGATATCTCTTCAGGCAATTTACTAAGAATGCTTATATGGAACTACTTCCCGGTTATAAATAATTTGTTTCTTCTAGGAAACTCTACAACTCAAGCACCTCCCACTCTCACATGGGTCCATAGAAGAGATATCCTTTATCGGTTACATTTTTTAAACCAATTTTTCACTTATGTATTTTTGATGTTGGCCATTCTGTTAGCTATGTAATTTGAATTTCCCCCAAATATTTTTTTTTTTTAAAGATTTTATTTATTTGGCAGAGAGAGAGAGAGAGAGAGCAGGAACACAAGCAGGGGGAGTGGGAGAGGGAGAAGGAGACTCCCTGCCAGGCAGGGAGCCCGATGTGGGACTCGATCCCAGGACCCTGGGATCATGACCTGAGCCGAAGGCAGACGCTTAACGACTGAGCCACCCAGGCGCCCCTCCCCCAAATATTTTTTAATGTTTTATTTTAATCACCTATTGCTCATCATGACACGTGTACTCCTTAATCCCCATCACCTATTTCACCCATACCCCCACCCACCTCTCCTTTGGTAACCATCACTTTGTTCTCTACGGTTGAGTCTGTTCCTTGCTTTGTCACTTTTTTTCCCCTTTGCTCATTTGTTTTGTTTCTTAAATTCCACATATGAGTGAAATCATATGGGATTAGTTTTTCTCTGACTTCTTTCACTTAGCATTAGATCCTCTAGGTCCATACGTGTTGTTGAAAATGACAAAATTTCATGCTTATTATGGCGGAATAATAATCATTTGTATATAAATACCACTTCTCCTTTATCCATTCATCTATCCATGGACACTTCAGTTGCTTCCGTATTTTAGTTATTGTAAGTGCTGCAATAAACATACGGGTGCCTCTATCTTTTTGAATTAGTGTTTTCATATTTTTGGGTAAATAACCAGCAGTGGAACTACTGGATCCTACAGTAATTGTATTTTTAATTTTTTGAGGAATCTCCATACTGTGTCCCACAGTGGCCGCACCAGTTTGCGTTCCCACCAACAGTGCCTGAGTGTTCCTTTTTCTCCACATCCTCACCAACACCTGTTGTTTCTTGTGTTGTGTGTTGTTGATCTTAGCCATTCTAACAGGTATGACGTGATATCTCATTGTAGTTTTGATCTGGATTTCTTTTTTTTTTTTTTTTATTCATGAGAGACAGAGAGAGAGACAGGGGCAGAGGGAGAAGCAGGCTCCCCGCGGAGCAGGGAGCCCGATGCAGGACTCGATCCCAGGACCCCGGGATCATGACCTGAGCCGAAGGCAGATGCTTAACCGACTGAGCCACCCAGGCGTCCCTGATCTGCATTTCTTTGATGATCAGTGATGATGAGCATCTTTTCATGTGTCTGTTGGCCATCTGGATGTCTTCTTTGGAAAAATGTCTCTTCATGTCTTCTGCCCATTTTTTAATCGGATTATTTGTTTTCTGAGTGTTGAGTTTTATAAGTTCTTTATATATTTTGGATACTAACCCTTTATCAGATACGTCATTTGCAAATATCTTCTCCCATTCTGTAAGTTGCCTTTTAGTTTTATTGTTTCCTTCACTGTGAGGAAGCTTTTTATTTTGATGTAGTCCCAGTAGTTTATTTTTGCTTTGGTTTCCCTTGCCTCAGGTGACATATTTAGAAAAAAGTTGCTATGGTCAATGTCAGAGAAATTACTGCCTATGCTCTTTTCTTGGATTTTTATGGTTTCAGATCTCACATTTAGGTCTTTAATCCCTCCAAGGTGTTTTATTTATATTTATGTTATATATTACCTATATCTAATAGTTATCTATATTTCTTGAATGGGTTTCTAATCGGTAATGATGCTGAACATCTTCATGTGCATATTTCCTATCCATATATATACTCTTCAGTGGAATGTCTCCCCACACCCTTTGCCCATTTGCTATTTGGATTTTTGGTATTCCTACTATTGAGTTTAGAGAGTTCCTAACACATTTTGTATGCAAGTTCTTTGTTGAACAGGTGAACTGTAATATTTCTTCTCAAGTCTGTGGCTTGTCTTTCCATCCTCTTAACAGGATCTTTACCATACCAGGTTTTTAATTTTTATGAGGTCAAACTTGATAATTTTTTCTGGATTATACCTTTAGTCCTATATCTCAGAAAATCTTCACCTGACGGTAAGTCATATTTTCTTATGAAAGTTTTATAGTTTTATGTTTTACCTTTAGATCTGTGGTCCATCTTTGAGTCAATTTTTATATAAGGTGTGAGGCCTGGGTCGAGTTTCACTTTCTCCCCTATGCCTATCCAAGTTCTCCAAAACCATTTGTTGAAAGGCCATCCATTCTCCACTGTCAAAAATCAGCTAACCAGACCTATAAAGGAACAGTCTGGATTCTCTCGGTGTTTATCCAGTCACCAACACCAGTTTTGATGACAATAGTTATGTAACACTTAAAACTGAGTAATTTCTTTTTCAAAATTGATGAACGATTCTAGGTTGTTTTTTTTTTTTTTTGCTTTAAAATTTTTTTTTAAAGATTTTATTTATTTATTTGACAGAGAGAGAAATAGTGAGAACAGAACACAAGCAGGGGGAGTGGGAGAGGGAGAAGCAGGCTTTCTGTGGAGCAGGGGGCCTGATGCAGGGCTCAATCCCAGGACCCTGGGATCATGACCTGAGCTGAAGGCAGACGCTTAATGACTGAGCCACCCAGGCACAGCTTTTTTTTTTTTTTTTGCTTTTAAATATAAACTTAAAATCATACAGTCTGTGGCTACAAAAAAAATCCTGCTGGAATTTTTATATGAATTTCATGATACCTGTAGGGAGACATGAGAACTGACATTTTTACTGAAGCTTCCAATCCATGAACACAGTATACAGTATGTATCTCCATTTCTTTATATCTTGTTTGATATCCTATATCAGTGTTTTATAGTTTTCACATACTGATCCTGTAGATATTTTGCTAAATTTATGTGTAGGCAACTCACTACTTTTGAAGCAACTGTAAATTGTACCATGTTTTTAATTTTGGTTTCTAGTTATTCATTGTTTAGGAATATAATTTTTGTGTGTGGACTTTGTATCCTACAACCTTGCTATTTACTTATTAGTTCTAACAGATGTTTTGTAGATAGCTTGGAATTTTCCAACCAAGGAGATATATATATATATATATATATATATAATCTGCAAATAAGGGAAGTTTTTTTTTTCATTCTAATCTCTAGGTCTTTTATTTCCTTTTCTTGCCTAATGTACTAGATGTGACTCCCAATAGATTATTAAATAGGAGGGGTGAGAGCAGATAGTATTACCCTATTCCCAGTCTCAGGAGGAAAGCTTTCAGTATTTCATAATGGAAGTGTAAGTTTAGCTGTTGCATTTTATATATGCTTTATATCAAGTTAAGGTATTACCAGTCTGTTCCTACCTTGCTGAGAATTTTTCTAATGAATGTGTATAGGATTCTACCAAATGCTCTTTATACATTAACTGTTATGATCATATGATTTTCATTCTTTAACCCATTGATGTGGTGGATTACACTGATTTTTTTTAAAGATTTTTAAAATTTATTTGACACAGAGAGACACAGCGAGAAAGGGAACAAGCAGGGGGAGTGGGAGAGGGAGAAGCAGGCTTCCTGCGGAGCAGGGAGCCCGATGCGGCACTTGATCCTGGGACCCTGGGATCATGACCCGAGCCGAAGGCAGACGCTTAATGACTAAGCCACCCAGGCGCCCCTACATTGATTTATTTAAGGCAGCATTGCACACCTGGAATAAATCCTACTTAGTCATGGTATATAATTTTATTTATATATGGT